GTAAAAACTCAGGGACTCAAAATGCGTGTGACCACAAGAATTGTATGGTCCACTCCTGTTGGAACAGTGACACAGGACTGAGTTGTAACTACAGTCCCATGTAGGGGCTCCTCCCATGACAGCTTGCCCCCTCCCACAAGGCTGGCATCCCCGCCCCACTTCCTATGAAGCCCCAAGGGCTCACTGCGCAGCCTGCCGCCCTGCCCCAGCCCAGAGCCCAGAGGTGAGAGCCTTCTGACCCGGGTGTTCATTCAGCATCAAAGAGGCCGTGGGGTGGGTGCAGGTGGGTGGCTGGGAGGCTCTCCACCCTGGTCCACTGCCATCTTCCTGTGCCACCCGATGTGGCCCAGTCCCACCTGCTGGGACGCAGGCCCATCAGAAAGTCTGCCAGGGTACAGTTCTCATGGATCTTCCTTTTGGCCCTCCTCCTGTAAGTCCTCAGAGGGACAGATGGCTCATGGGGTTCTGGACACCTCAGGGGGAGGCCTCAGCACCATTCTCAAGCCCACTTGGCACGACCCAACCACAGTAACGTGGTTTGAGAAACGCACATATAAACGGAATTTAAAATCATCACCAGAGCTTGATATATTCCTGTAGATTAAAAAATTTTATATCTGATATATATATCATCATTTATCAATCATCACCAGAGAGTGACAGAGTCTCTATATAAAAAAATCTTTCCAGAGGTACTAAGAATTCCTTTAACAAGTTCGTCTAATACGTTTTAAACTTACTAAGTTTACAACAATTCAATAATGCTAAGCTTTTCTGGAAACCACCTATTCTCCAAAATGAGGTATGCCTGCATTTAGAAAACCAAAGTTCTAGAAACTTTACTGAAATGAGAGGATATTCTAAACGGCTCCTGGGGGGAACATCAACCAGGAAAGCCGGGAATGAGGCTGGATGGACAGTGAAGCACAGGCGCCAGCGGCTCACAGCCGCCCGCTCACTGCTCCCCGCAGCAGCCCTCGCATCTGGCTTGACACATGTGTGTCTGTCTGTCTGGAAGCTCTCCTGGCCTGTGGCCCACAGGGCCCATCTGCACTGCTCACCTGAACAATGCCGATGGAGGAGGCATCGATGGTTGTGGTCTCTGGGAGGTGGTCCAGATCGTCGATCCTCACGGCGAGGACCTGTAAGCAAGCACGGGGCAGTGAGCCTGGGGACAGCTGTGCCTGAAGGCCGCCCGTGCCGACTACCGGCAGGAACCAGACACACTGCCGGGTGGGCCGCCTGCAGCAAGGACGTGGCCATCCAAGGACTCCCATTCCTCCCTCTGGTGCACCCTCC